CACACACACACACACACACACACACACTAAATAAATGTTTAAAAAAAAAAAAAAAAGAAATTAAATTCCAAAAATAAAAGTTCCTGGAGTTCCGCTGCCTGAGCAAGGCTGAAGGAAAGGTCTCCTCGTCCCCAGCAGCCACATCTGCCTCTGGGCAAGCTCCCATCTCCTGCGCCCGCCGGGCCACCACTGCTCTTGCCAGGTACTCTGACATTCACTCACCTTCGCTGGGCTCTGGATGAACGGCTCTAACTCTTCTGATTACTCTATAAGACATCATAATCAACAGCTGGATAAGCAGGGGCTCAGAGAGGGCAAGCATCTTCCCTGAGGTTATACAGCCAGTAAGGGGCAGAGTGGAGGTGTGAATCCTTCAGTGGCTGGAACTCAAGTCTTATCTTCTTCAGATTAGATGGGTACCATACCTCTTCCTGCCCTTCACAGCTGAATACCAGACACCTCTGCAGCTCAGATGCTCATTCATCTCATTCATTCATTCAGCTCCAGTTCAGTGCCAGGTATAGGCTGCTGCAGACCCCCTCCCCTTCCCCCCACATCTGCTATGCTCTCAGGACTCTGCTCAAGAACTTGAACTCCATTTATTACAAAAGCTTGGGTTCATCAAGTTGTATCATGAACAGGTCCCCCAGATCACTAAGGTGTGACAAGGGGCGCCGAGCTGGGGTCCCTGTACACTTCCCTGACCTGGCCCACTCTGCACAAAGCCTGGGTGGGTGGGGTCCCCTGGACTGGCCTTGAGCAGTCCTTTGTTTATAAAACCAAAAGGGCCCAAGGAGTCCTGGGCACACATATGTAGAAAACAGGGTTCCCTTCCACAGGAGCGCTGGGGTGGGGTTGGGTGAGGAGGGGCACCCATATTCTCTTGGGAGAGAAGAGGTGGGTTCAGCGATCAGGGTTGGGACCCAGCGCAAGCACAGCCAGCTGCATCAGTCTGGGGGTCTAGGGGCTGGGCTTGTGGCTCTGGGCCAGTCCCATGCAGCCCTGGGAGGCCCTAGGCCACCTGGATTTGCAGGTCCTCATCCTCGTCCAGGTCGCTGGCTCCATCCCCTGCCTCCTCAGTGCCAAAGCGGGCACTGCGGATCTTCCCGAAGAGGGGGGCATTCTGCTGCTGCCTGCGGAGTCTGTGGGATGGAGCAACAAGAGGTTAGAGGACAGTCTGGCCCTGCCACCTCCTGATAGCATGGCTGCAGCTGTGCAGACAGCGGCTAGTTTCCCTACTGCTTGCTGGCTGCCAGGCATTCTTCACTACTTTTGCTTCTGTGAGGCACGCCATACTGTCATATCCACCTACAGACAAGGACACAGAGGACCAAAAAACTGAGTGACTTGTCTAAAGGCCTGCTCCTAGGGCTGATGGAGCAGGGGGTGGCACTGGGGGTGGTCTGAGACCCTACCTTCCCACTGTTGGTGAGAAAGTGCTTGGCCCTTATTCTCTCTGTATTAAAATTCCTAAAGCCAAAACACAGGAAGCCAACTCAGACTCCCAGCAAGTGAGCGGAGCTGGTGGAGAAGGTGCCCATCCCCCGGCCCCAGCAAAGCAGCCGCCCTGCTGCATCTTACTGGAAGGCATGAATTATTAACACGGCAGGGAGGGGCGTGTGCCTCCATTACTGTGGTGATTTAGTGAGCTGTCCCGTATGATCAGTAAAGCGCAAAAAGTTGGAAACTACGAGGAGGTGGAAGTCATGGTGGTCCTGCCCTCCCCACGAGGTGCTGGGGATGTGGGGAGTTTATGACTCCTAAAGAATGTGGCCTGGACTTTGGGACAGCCCTCAACGGTGGCCTCCAGATCTCACTGGGCGGAGATCCACGACTGGGCCGCTGCACAACACTTGAGAGCATCATCTTAGGCAGATGAGGAAAGTGAAGAGTAGCTGACTATTCCACGGGCTCAGCTCCTGAGCCTGCCCTCCTACACACGACACTGCAGCACACAGCAGGACTTAGTACACGCTCAGCAAATGCCGGTGCCAACGGCCAGGGGCCCAGCATTGTGGCTTTCCTCTTGGGCCTTGGTTTCCTGGTCTGCCAGTGTGCTAGAGAGAAGATCTCGCCTTCTGCCTTGCTCAAAGGAATGCTCTGCTTGCAGCACAGTTATCCAACCCAACCTAGGCCCCTCCCCAGGGGCGGCGCCAGTGGCAGCAGCAGCAACAGTGAGAACAGCTATACCAGCTGACGATTACTCAGCATTTATGGCAGGTTTTTTTTATTTTTATTTTTATTTTTTTGATACTGGGGATTGAACTCAAGGCTCTTGCCTTGAGCTGTATCCTTGCATGCTTTCTCTCTCTTGACCTCACTCCTGCCTTTTTTTCTTTCTTTCCATTGCTAGAGATGGAACCCAGAGTTTTGTGCATGCGAAGCGAGGGCTGTACCACTGAACAGCCCAGCCTTCCCAGCTCTTTTTCTATATTTTATTTTGAGACAGGATCTCACTGTCACTAAGTTGCCCAGGTTAGGCTTGAACTTGGTAATCTTCCTGCCTCAGCCTCAAAGAGTGCTGGGATTACAGGTGTGCACCATGAAGTCCAGTCTTTCAAGCACTTTTATAAACATGAATGAGCTCATTTAATTCTCACAATGACCAAGGAGTGAGATTTATTATCATCCCCACCATACAGATGGGAATTTGACCCCGAGATGTTTACTATCCCAAGACCTCCCAGGCAGGCTGGCTGCAGAGGGAAAGAATGCAGGTGACAGGGTGGCCAGCCCTGGGTGCAGGAAGCAGGTCAGTATGGGGGCCTGATGTCCAGGGCCTCCCAGCTGTGCAGGGGGTACTTGGACCTGAAGTTCTCTGACATCTCCTGGCTTGAGGGGACATGCAAGAGAAAAGGCATGATCCACAGAAAGCGGGACCCTCAGGCTCGGCCAATCTGATGGGGTCTCTGCATCTCTCTGCCTTCCACATCCCTGCTGGCCTGGGATGCCAGAGGCCTACATTTCTGGTAACTTCTTGTTCTGTTTTATTTTTCTGCAGTGCTCAAGATTGGACCCAGAGCCTTCACACTGAGCTATATCCTGAGGCCTTTTTTATTTCGAGACCGGGCCTTGCTACGTCATTATGTTGACCAGACTGGGGCTAACTCTTCCTGCCAACAATTCCCAGAGTGCTATCCCTCATCTTTGGCCTGACCTCCCTGGCCACCCCCCCAACCAGCTAGAGGAGACAATTCCAGGTTCCCCAGCTGGTTTGGCTTCCTGCACCCACCTTCCTGGTTTCCTGACCCTGGCCTTTCCTGCCTTGAGGGGACAGGATTCTGGCCCCAGGACCTCTTCCTTCTCTGTCTTCCCCTCTGGCCTTCTTAAGGGATCCAACAGAAGGTCCTGAGGCAGCACCTGGATGCCCCCCCAAGTCCCCATGCCCACCTGGACTGCAGGTGTTCCAGCTGCACCTGCAGGTTCTCGCTCTGCTCTGTCTGCTCGTCCAGAGACCGCTGCAGCTTCCGTGCCTGGTTGTGGGCCTCATCCAGCTGTGGGCGAGCAGGACCAAGGGCATTTGGGTCGCCAGGGAGGGGCAGCTGGGGCCCAGCTACTCTGCTCCACTCTTGAGACTATGCCCTTCCAGGGCTTCTGCTCCTGAGGCCTAGTCAAAGCCACCTGTCCAAGCAGCATCCTTTCTGCTCCTTCCTCTCTGTCCCTGTGGTGTCCTCTCCAAGTCTACCCAGCCCCCAACGCCCTAAATTGCAGACCCATTGCCCACCCACTTACCACCAATTCCTACCAGCCTGTCTGCCTATGGGGACACTCACCCCCCCCGCCCCATGCATTACCCATCAGCACCCACTCATCTGCCTGTCCACACGCCCCTCCATGCTCCCGACCTTGTTCTCCCTTCTCTCTGGACTCATTCTTCCACACACTCCTGTAGTATGCTGTCTGTCCATCTGTCCACAGTCTACCCATCCAGCCCTCCATCTGTTTGTGCACCCATCATCCACCCATCTCTCCCTCCAGTCAGCTGACATCTGCCGTTACACCTCATTCATCTATCCTCCCTCCCTCCTCTCCCCTCCATCTGCCCACCTAGTCCTGCATCCATCTGTTCACTCATCCATGGAGTCTCCCTTCTGTCCTCCATTCAGCCGTCTCCACACCCTCCCATTCATCCATTCAGCCACTCGCTCACTCACTTGCTCACCTTGGCCAGCTTCCCCCCTTTTGCCCCCACACCTAACCTAGCACCACCTGCCACCCACCCGCTCCCTTTTCTCTGGTGCCTCCTGAAGTCCCGCCTTGCCAGGCATTGTGGTCCCAGCATGGAGCACGGGTGGCCCTGCAGGCTGCTCCCTTGGCCCCTCAGGCACACTTGCCTCATCCTCAGCCTGGGCCAGCTCTTTCTTGAGCTCCTCCACCCGCAGCCGCAGCTTCTTCACCTCAGCTTCATGCTGCTCCACCCGGCGGTTAGCATGGGCCAGCTCAGCCACTTTCTCCTGGAACTGTTTCTTCAGCTTGCCATGTACGTGCTTCAGGTCTGCCAGCTCCTGCAGGGGACAGAGAAGGAGGGCTCAGGTTTACCTGGGCACCACACCACAAGTCCCATAGGTCAGGTAGCACTTGGGGTGCTGGGTGTCTTCTCCCTGGGATAGTCCCCTGCTGTCCCAAACACCAGCACTAAGGTTTGGGGAGTGGCTGGGAGCAACAGATGGCACTTATTGGGGTGAGAAGGCTCAGGAGGCAACAGAGAAGGGTGGGAGGTGGCTTCACTTGGGATACATGACTGTGAGATATGAGCAGGCAGCTGGAGCCAGGGCAGGATTTGTGTGGGGAGGAGGTCTGAGGTCTTTGGTTATGAGTCCATGGCACTTGAAGTGCTAAGTCTGAGAACAAACTAAGCTGAGGAGTGGGTGTGGGAGGCAAGAGAGGAGAGGCCAGAGCAGCTGGGAAGAGCAGCAGCAGCCGTAGAGGAAACGCCTTGCCCTAAGCGCCAGGATCCGTCAGTTCTCCCATTTGTGAAGTGGGGGTGATGTCTAAGTCTCCCGAGTCCAGCTTTTCTTTCATCTCCTCCAAGCCCAGTGTGGTCTGTGTCTCCACTGGCCCTTGCTGCGTCTGGACAGCAGCGGCCTTCACACTGGCCTGCCCTCATGCCACTGCCCGCCCTGCTGGCCAGGCCCCAGCCTCACATGCTCTGGCCCCTGCTCACACTCCACAGCGATGCTGGCTTTCTTGTCCCTCTAAAGTGCCACGTCCTCTCACCATGGGACGTTCTCTCACATGACCACCCATTCTTCTCCTTTCCCAAATGAGGCTACCAGCAGTTAATGTCAAATGCCACTCCCTCAGGAAGGCTTTCTAGGACCCTGGACACAGGCCAAGTCCGCAGTAGTTCCTCTTCCCATGTCAACCATGGAGCAACACGATCGGTATAAGCATATGTGATACAGTCGGCAACTTGTGGGTCCCACAAGCCATCAGCTCCATTGTGAGAAGAGGGAGAGCCAACACCTGTCTGTTCACTGTTATTCTCATAGCACACAGCAGGTGCTCATACTTGCAGCTACTGTAATTGTCACGGGGCCTAACCTCACAGTAGGTACTCAATAAGTGCAGTTACTGTGAGTGCAGATGGCCTAGCATACAGTAGGTGCACCGCAAACGCAGCTACAGCTTGAACACTTCTTATCCAACATGCCTGGGACTAGAAGTGCTTTGGATTTCAAGTTATTTTTGGATTTTGGAATATCTGCATCTCCATAAGAAAGTATTTAGGGTATGGGACCCACCCCAGCACAGACATGAAACTCAGTTATGTATGACTCATGGACACCTTGGACACAGAGGCAGAAGATAACCTGACACAATGTTCTGAGTGTGCATGGGTTTCCTCTGGGACCCATCGTGCAGGCTGTGGGGGCTCAACTAGCGGCCCCATGCTGATGCTCACAAACTTTTGACAGCTGAAGCCTTTCAGATGTCAGAGTTTGGATTAGGAAGTCTCAACCTGTAATTTACCAGCAGGCCTGACGCGCAGGTGGTGCCCTGCTGGGGCTGGGCGGGGAGGCCCTGGCCGCTGTCCTCCCTGCCCACCTTGTTCTTCTCGAAGAGTGCGGCCTGGCTGGCCCGCAGGTCGCAGTCCAGGGCACTGGTTGTCTGCCGCCGGCGCCGGGCCAGGGCCTCCTCCAGGTCTCCGACCTGCGCCCGCAGCTTCTTGTTCTCCCGCTCCAGGCCCAGCTTCTCAGTCTCTAGCCGCTCTCGGCGGCCCCACTCAGCCGCATTCTCAGCCTGCAGCCGCTCCATCTGCAAGAGGCAGGATGGAGTGAGACTCCAGAGGGAGGGGGGGCTGAGGGCCACGCTGCCCCTCCACCTCCTGGAGCCAAAAATGGCTCCAGGAAGCAGATCCAGCTGCAGCTGCTATAATTAAGCTGGGCTTCTTTCACGGTGTGCAGGATGTGGGGGTGCTTCTGGTCCCTGTATGGGAAAGGGCCGCCCCCTACAGATGGGGACACCCTCAGAGCACAGACCTGGCTCCCGTTCCCTCCCAGTGACCAGCTGATGGCCAGCTCCAGTCCCCCAGTTCTGCCGGCCACCTCACCTCGCCCCTCAGCTCAGCCATCTTCCTGTCCATGCTGGACCGCGCGCCCAGCTCATCCTCTAGGTCTTCGGACATGCGGCCCAGCTCGTCCTGGTGTGCCTCCTTCAGGATGCTAAGCTGTGAAGACATTGCCTGCCTGGTTACACGAGGACCCCCAGTATAGACCGGAACTGGCTCTGGGAGACAGGGCGGGCACTGGTGCGGGGACACCTGGGGTCCCGAGCAGACCCTGACTCTGAGCATGCTTCTGCCTCTCGTCTCTCCCCCTTAACACCTAGCTCCCCCTTCCCTGTGTCAACTCTTGTCTGTCAGCCAAACAGCAAACATAGTGAGCTTTTATCCATTTATCTATTTATTTATGTTTATTTTTGGTATCAGAAATTGGACTCAGGACCTTGGACTTGCCAGGCAGGTGCTTATGTCACTGAGCTATATCCATGGCCTCACAGTGAGTTTTTAAGAAAGACAAATTCAATCTCCATCTCTCCCTAATACCAAAAGCCCCTGTGATGGCTCACAGGTGCCTTGGAATAAAACCTGACTCCTGTGGTCTCACAAAGCCCATGCGATCAGAGTCCTGTCTCTTTTCCTTGTCCTCACTCTTCATCTCTTTCCCCATAGTTCACCGTGCTCCAGGCTGTGTGGATGCCTTTCTATTCTGCAAACACACCAGGTTCCTGCCCTCTGAAGGGCCTTTGCACATGTGGTTCTCCCTGCCTGGGACATCCTCAGGTAATCTCCAGGGCTCTCCTGTGCTCATCTTACTGCCCACCAGAGTGCAAGCTGCACGGCAGTGACCAGAGTGGAGAAGGAGTCTGAATGTGACCTGCCTTGGGCCTGCTTTGTGCCAGATGTCATTGAGTCCTTGTGGCAGTCAAGAGAGTAGGGTCTTGACATCCTAACCTTACAGATGAGAGAAGGGAGTCCACCCTGGGATTATGGGATCTGCCTGCCATCCCTGTGTCCTGCACTCCCTTGACACAGAAGCCCTCAGTGCATACCACAGATCTAAAAACTGGTCTGCAAGCAGGTGCACTGGGGCTGCTCGGGGGCTTTTCAATGAACACAGCACCCTACTATACAGCAGCAAGCCCCAGCAAGCTCTTGCTCCATGCAGCCATATGGCAAAGTCTTCAAACAGAATGTGGTGGGAGAGATGCCAGATACAAAAGAGATGATTTCAGCTGAGCTGCATAGTGGTGTTTCTTTCACTTTTTTTCAAATAAGTACACCTCACAGTCTGAAAGTTTAAAGAGCTGGCCTCCGGGACAGCAATCCCAAAGATGATGGCTGGTTCTGGGAGATTTTAGTGGAAGAGTAGTCCCTGGCCTCTTCCAGGACTGGGGTTCAGGCTCTCAGGGCTCTGAGCCTCTCACCTGGACACCCAGCCAATCTAGCCAGGCTTTTCCTGGGTGACTGCGCCCTCTGGTGGCCCTGGGAGCTGTCAAGGAGCAAGATGTGGCAGCCAGCCTGATCCCATCATCCCAGGGTGGACTCCCCTCTCTGAGGCCTCTTTGCTCATCTGTAAGGTTAGGATGTCAAGACCCTACTCTCTTGACTGCCACAAGGACTCAATGACATCTGGCACAAAGCAGGCCCAAGGCAGGTCACATTCAGACTCCTTCTCCACTCTGGTCACAAGGCCCCGTGAGATCCAGCCCCACTGTGCCTCACTGCCCACTGGTTATAGCCTCAGTGCCTCCCCTGTTGTACCCTCTCAAAGTTTGTTTCTTCTCACCCCTTTAGATCTTACGTCAAATGTCACCTTCTTAGAGAGGCCTTCTGGAGCCCCCGCCCTATCCTTCTCAGTCTGCTTGACTTCTCTGTGGTCATGGATTTTCCTCCCTGGTCACTGTCATTTGCCCACTCCCACCCTCTACAAAGTGAGCTGCTGAGGGCAAAGGTCCCCCTTAACCCCTGAACTCAGAACCACCACCGAATGAGTGAACTGCACTCTCTCCCGTCCCCACTGTAGACATTCATGTGTTCCTGCCACCGGCTGGAGGCTCCTCATCTCCAGACTGACCTGCTTGAGCATCTCCTGCTTGGTCTTGCTCAGCTCCTCATACTTGATCTTCCACTGGCTGAGCTCTCCCTCCAACTTCTCGATGTTTCTGCTCAGTGCCAGTTTGTCCCTGCAGAAGTGAAGACAGGGAGGGACAGGCAAATGCTTATTTCAGTGCATCAAGTTGACTTTTTTTCTCAAGCAGCAGAAATGTATTCTCTTGTGGTTCTGAAGGTCATGAGGCCTAGATCAGGTGCTGGCAGGGACGGTCTCATTTCTGATTGTGAGAAAGAACCTGTACCGCGTCCCATCTCCCCCACCCCACCAGCCTCTGGCAGTGGTTTGCCTTCTATTTGTGGTGCTCCTTGGCCAAACAAGCATCACCACGACCTTCACCTCCACCTTCACAAGGACACTGGGGTTTTTCTTTTTATTTCTTGCAGTGCTGAGGAACCAAACTCATGGCCTTGTCCATGCTAGGGAAGCCCGCTACTGCTGAGCACAGCTCTGGTCCCTATGTTGATTTTTCAAAAATAAAGTCATGTGTGTAGCTAGATTAGACTATATAGCTCTTTTTTTTTAAAAAATATTTATTTATTTTTATTTATTACATTTATTTATTGTGTGTGTGTGTGTGGCCAGCTCAGCCCACCAGGGGGCAGGGCTGGCTGGCATGTGGTGCTGGGGAATTGAACCGTGGTCCCTGTGCTTTGCCAAGCTTGTTTCAAGTAGGTGCTTTAGACCACTGAGCCATCTCTCCAGCCCAGACTATATAGCTCTTGAACAGCAAAGCTGCACAATACCCAGTAGCACCAGGCTGTGCCCTCTGAACTGCCCTGACCAAGGTTAATGACCTCTCAGCAGTGGTCAGTTCTCTTTTCACTTGACCAGCTGACCGATCTGACTACCCTGAAACCATTTTCCTCAGTTTCTCCTTCTCTCAGCTGCCTGCCTTCTCCTCTCTTCTCTGATGCTTCCCCTACCTCTAGTTAACCTCTAAACCTGGCGGGCACCAGGGCTTCCTCCTCCAACCTCACTGGCTCCAGCCTCCCATACCACCTGTTGGATGCCCAAGATGTATTAGTAGAACAAATAAAAAAAGTCTTGCGTTGGCATATGCCTATGATTTCAGCTGTGAGGCTGAGGCAGGAGGGCTGCAAGTTTGAGCCCAGCCTGAGCAATTTAAATGCTTAGTGAGACCCTGTCTCCAAATAACAAATTAAAAAAAAAAGGCTGGGGATATAGTTCACTGGTATAGTACCCAATACCGGGGGACAAAAAATCCTAAACTCAAAAAGCTCACATGGCATTGCAAATGTACCTTGGTGGGTCTTGTGTTCGGTGACACTGATTTTTTCTGGGGCTCTGAGGGTGCCCTAGCCCCCTGCCTGCCCTCTGAGACTCACTCTCGTTCCTTGAGCAACACCTTCTGGGACTCATCCAGCCGCAGCCGCAGGGCAGTCAACTTGGAGGCGTCATCCTCAGTGGCGCCTGTGTCCTCCCAGGGGAGCCGGCTGCGCTCCTGGCGGCCTGAGCTGCCCCTTGGGGCTCCAGCCCCAATGCTGCGCGTCTCCCAGCAGCCCTCGGGCTCCTCTGGTCTGCTCTTCAGCAGGGTCTCCACCAGCTCCAGCTCCTGCAGGGACCAACAGGGAGGATGCACCAGTCTGCCACACTGTCCCCTTGGTGACCCTCTTTATGGGCTCTCACAGACCCTGGGCTGGAATCAGCTTGCTGGTGACTTTTGGCAAGTGCTACTGTGCCTCTGGACCCTTGCTTCCTCTGCCGCTCTCTGCCTCTCCATCTCTGAGCCTCTTCTCTTACGTCCTGAAACTTCAGAGTCAGCTACCAATATTTCCTATGTCTTGGAAGATTCCTCAGGAGAGGTGATGAGTTCCCCATCACTGGAAGTATGCAAGTACATATCAAAGCACAGATGCCTACCATAGTTGAGGACTAGATTCCCTCAAAAGGAATTGCCATTCTATGATCCTGTTTTTCAGGGGCAAACACTGAGGCATGATGAGGTTGAACAATCCTGGAGCAGTGACCACCTCCTCTGCCCCCTGTATCTCAGATTGTCCAGCGAGGGACACCCTGAATGTCACCTGTCTAAAGTCCCTTTGCACAAATGGGGACATAAGGAAGTAAGGGACTCATATGGGCCACAGAGCACAGAAACAGCAGGGCTGGAGTGCAAACTCAGACGCTGACCCAGGGCTCTGCCCACTGTGATGACCATAAGGAGAGGAGGCCCGCAATAGGAGCAGGGAACACTTCCTGCAAGCACCTGGGAATTAGGGCTTCAGGCCCAGGAGGCAGCAGTGGCAGGGAAGGGGCTGGCAGCCAAGAGTTGCAGCTGGAGCAGCTGAGGTGGGATCCTGCCCCAGGTGGCCTTCTGGTGATTGGCATGCTGGCTGAAGGGGGCTGCCCTCTGCACGCACCCTAAATCCTGATGACCAGCTCAGACTCTGGAGGCAGCTGGCCTGGGCTCAAACTCCCAGGCTCTGGTCATCAGCTCAGACCTGGCTCAGACTTGCCCTGCAACTGGAGTGCTCAAGAAGCACATTCCATAGAGGGTGTCTGCGAGGGTCAAGGAGACAACATGAATGGATGGGAGGCTGAGTGGTGAGGAATCCACTAGTGTGGTCTTCTGCCTCTGGGCTCTTGCAGTTCCTTGTCCTGGAATGCCTCAGGCACTTTATACAGTTAATTCCTACTCACCCAGTCTACTTAAATGGGACCTCTTCTAGGAAGGTAACTGTTTAGCCAAAGCGTGGGTCAGGCACCTCCTGTGTGCCTAGTGACCCCTGACCCATTCAAGTTGAACAAATACATTGGATTGGGCTGTAGCTACTAATCCTGACTTCCAGCTAGAAGGTTGGCCCCCTCTCCTATCTAGAGGGGACGATTTCTCCATTCTGTTGATTTCTTAGCTGTCAGAGTATTGAGACCACCAGGAACTGGGATTCACCATCCTGGGTCTCCAGAAGGGAGGCAATTTGGGTCGCCCTCTTGAGAGCTGAGTCTGACCTGGAGGTGTGGAAACTCCCAGATAGCATTGCTTATTACTAGCTTCTTCCGGAGCCCCCACTATTTGACATCGCCTCATGTCTGGCTGGCGCCACAGCCGCCCTCCTCCCCAAATTCACAGCTTGGCTCTATGCGCACCTGGCTGTCCTGCGGCCTCTCCGACCCGATGTCGCGCACAGGCTCACGCTCCCGCTCAGCATCGGGCTCCGAGCCGTCGTGAATCTTATCCACAGCAACCCGGGCGCCCCGCAGCCGCGCCAGCTCGCGGCCCCGAGCCTCGCACTCGCCCTGCGCCTCCTGGCGTTCGCGCCGCGCTCCTGCCAGCTCTTTGGTGAGCGCGTCCAGGCGCTGGCGCAGCTGGCGAACCTCTTCGCGTGCGCGATTGCGCTCGGCGCGCACTTTGCTCCACTTCTCGCGCCAATTGGCCGTGCAGTCCGACCACCAGCGCATCGTCTTCTCCATCTGCGCAGCCCGCGCGCGCGCCTCCTCCAGCTCCCGCAGCCGCAGCTCCTCGCGGCTCTCCCAGTCCCCATCCGCCAGCAGCGCGGGAGGCGGCGGCAAGGGCAGTGCGGGCGGTGGTCCCGGGGAGGGTGTACCGCTGGACGGCGTGGGTGGCAGAGAGTCAGCAGGCCCCATGCGCTCGGGCGACGGGCTGCCTAGGATAGTCAGGAGGCTGCCCTTGGACAGCTGTGGAGACTCGATCAGACGAGGACTCGGCCCGTGGCTCATGGTGCGGGCAGGAGGGCGCTGGGCTCGAACTCGCAGCCCGACTTAGGGACAGCGGTAGCAAGGCGGTACAGGAGCGATACTCCGTGGCATGATGGCTGCCACGCCCCACAGCGCTCCTGGTCACCAGGTGGGGGACCCCTCGTTGGATCTGCGGGAGAACACAACCATTCTTAGGCTGTAGCCACCGTCAGTCTGTAAGATCAGCCATGCACAAGTATAAGAGGTGGGTTCCAGGGCTACCCCCTCCAGCCCAGGGAGGGCCTCAAGACATCCTGCTAATCCCTGCTCTCTGGTTGCCAAGGGGACCTGGAAGCATGACTCCTGTCCTTTACCTTCACAGCAGCAGGCCACATGTGCACTGGCTGGTTCCCATTATCCTCAGATCTCATCTGAGACATCCCCTCCTCTGAGAAGCCCCTCAGACCTCCTCTGAAGGGCTCATCAGCCCAGGGCTCTATGTGGGCCTCATTTATTCTTCTCAGATTTGAAGTGAGAGAACATCTTACTGCCGCTTACAGTATGTATGAGCCCCAACCCAAACACTGGTAAGGACTTGAAGAAATGCATATGTGGGTGACAATAATTGAAAAACTCCAGTGGCTTCGATGAGAGTCATGGGGCGGTGGAGGGTTACTGCCTTTTTCTGCCAATGCCTGTGTCTCTCTTCTGCTTCCCCCACACTCTGGGCTATGCACTGGGCTTTGTCATCATGGGCTTCACTGTCCTTAAAAATAAAAAAGGCACCTGTCCTTCTCTGCCCCCAATCGACCCTACACTCCCACCATGTGGCCTCATGCTAACTGCCACTGCAGCTCCTTTAGGCGGCCCACCCATCTCCTTCACCATTGGGTTCAGCCCTGGTCCACAGATCTTCACACCTGCTCTGAAGATGTACATTTTTATCTCCCACTCTGGAACAGGAGATTGAACCCAGGGCCTTCACACTGAGACGCAGCCTCAGGCCTTTTTAAAGATGTTAGTTCACTTTTTGAGACAGGGTCTTACTCAGTTGCCCAGGTAGATCTTGGAGAACTTGAGTCCTCCTGCTATAGCCCCTTCTGAGTGACCAATGTACTGTGGGTGGGGCTCTCCCCACCAGAGATGGGCCTTGTGCCTGGGCTCCCACTGCCTGGCAGCCCTCATCCCAGTCTGACCTGAAGCCTCTCTTTTGTGGTTATCAGGGGATCTAAGTGGAGCGGGAACCCACCCCCTAGCTTTCCTCCCCTCTGCTCCTGTTCACAGCCCATCCAGCATGGCCAACACCCACCACTGCCCTCCCTTTCATCTGGCCACAAGTACCAGACTGGCTTCCAGCTCCATGTGACGTGTGAGTTCCTGACCTGGACACATCATCGCTCCTGGTTCCTTGTCATTCTCCCAGGACACTGTGCTCTCAAGTGCATGGGTGCCTAGGAAGCCATGAGGGGCCTGAGTGCAGCCTCCCTGGCTGCCAGCCTTCTGGACAGGCTGCCCCTGGGGCTCAGCCCTTGAGTGCTGCTGGCACCCCATCCTGGGCCCCTTTCTCTTTACCTGGTCCCCTGCCTGAGCTGTCCTTCCAATCTGTTCTGCACAGAGAAGCCACCTGCCCATGCTGGGGGCATCACCCTGTGTCACAACTAGTGGCAGGGACTCCTCTCTCACATCAACTCCCACCAGATTTCCTCTAGGACTCCAACAAGTCTTCTAGTCCCAAAGAAGCCCAGCCACTGCCCCGCCACCTGTGTACTGTCAGGGTCCACACATCAGGGTCCTAACCTCTTCCCCAAACACACTTGCAGTCCCCTAGCTCCCTTTTGCTTTTGTCTCCGGGCATCGCTGACCTCACTTATGTCCTCAGCCCTACACAGTCAGGCATCACAGATTATGTCACCAAGTGGAGCAGTGCCACGTTAAATTCACAGATTACCAGGGTTGCTCAGGAACACCCCCACTTTTCTCTATCCATTTGCCTTCCCTGACATGTCATCCAGACCCAACTCCATCACTGACCTCATGGGAGCTACAGTATCTTTGTGGGCCTCAGTTTCCCCACCTGTAGAATGGGGGTGGAGTGAGAGAGCCCAGGATTTCCTCAGCAGAGGTGGCTTCAGATTCAATGGATGTGTTCTTAAAATGCAGTTTCTTGGTCCAGCCCACACAGCTGGGAATGTACATTTTAGGAGTGCACACTGGGAACATCCGAGCACATGGTGATGTCGTCACCCACAGGTCAGCACACACATGCACATATGTCCCAGCCCAGTCACACCTGAACAGTCACCAGACGTAGTTGCACAGATCCAGATTCCACTCTAGGTGTGCTGCTGGCACTGCAAGTGGTCCCAGGCAGGCTGAGTGCCACTCTGTGACTCAGTTTCTCTGCCAGTGCTCTGAGGCAGTGGCCTCTGTACTCAGGAACATCCAAACACCTGTGTACCCGCAGACATGTCTGCAGGCACACATGCAATTCCACGCCCTAAAGCACAGATGCAAGACACACAGAGCTGCATGTGCACACACCTCTATGGACACAGACACACCTGCGGACACACGTACACGCATGCACACAACAGCACACTGCCAGGCACGAAGCCAGCAGGGACAGATGCTCATCCCTGGATCACTTAAACATGCACACACAGACACACACACTCCCCTTTTCCCCATTTTCCTGGCCCAGCTCCACACGGAGAAACTCTTGGAAAAGAAAAACAATGTGTGTGTGTGGGGGGGAGGGGTGGAAGCATAGTGGTGGCAGGAAACCCAAGTGCCAGCCAGCACAGTGGAGCCAGCCTGTCCTTCTGCTGGGTTCTTCCTGAAGTCCCAAAGTAACAGAATAGCAGGGAGGGGCACAGCCAAATCCTCTGCTTCTGGGACCACCAAGCCTGCTGTGGGGCTTGGCTGGAAGGGGGGCCCTGGCTCCTTCCAGGCATCTTAAGCCTGTGGCGTAGGGGCACAACAGGCGCCATCCAGGCCCCTAATGGTTTCCAGGCACCCATGAGCCAGGCAGGGCCTGAGGCTTCAGAGTCAGTGCCTGATCCTCTTCCCAACTGCCTGGCTGAACCCATCTAGGGGCGGGGGGAAAAGGGAACAGTGTGAGCAAGGAGATTCAGTAACAGCCACCCTGCTCTCCTCCTGCCGGCCCCGGGGGACTGTGTGCAGATGTGAATGGGAAGGACTGGGGGGGGGGGGTCCTGGGATGGTTTATTTAAAAGCCAGGACACCAGGAACCCCACACACCCTGTAGACCGAGATCAGCCAGACCCTGCCTAGCAATACTTCCCCGCCCCCACCCTGCTCACATAACACAGCCCTGGTAACTGAGGCCAACGCACACTGTACCCCAGGCTCCAGTGGGCTGTACACCTGGCCCTTCCGCACCAGGCTCGGCATGTTCTTCCTTCAGGGATCTGTGGAGGTCACTCCCTTCATTCCCAAGGCCCCCTGCAGACTACAGACCCTTATCCCTCCTTCCTTTGCACAAGGAAGCCCTAGGTGGGAGGAGCCCTTGTGCCACTCAGAGCTTCTAGGAAAGACTCTGCATAAAGTTGGTTAAAGTTGACTAGTGCCATGGGGAGCAGAAAAGCTGATCCACGATCTTGTACCTTTTTATCTGGGCACCGAACTGAGTGGAACCCCAGGCCCCTCAGCTATGTTCACTGCCTGCTGCAGGACAGAAACAGAAGCCACTGAAAGCTGGGGCCTCATCAGCCCTGCTCACAGAAAGTAGCCAGCCAGAGGCTCCTTTTGTTCACAGACCTGTCTAGAACATCTCTCCCTCCATCTTTCTCCACCAACAAACTGCTACACAGCCTTGAAGGCCCACCTTCAGCATCGCCTGTCCCGGGAAGCCTTCCCCTTCCTCTGAGTATGCTACTGCTCCCAACGGTTTTTCAGCCTTGGTCACACTGTGAAGTCCAAGGGGGCATCTTAGTCCTTCTCACTGTCAGTACAGGGCCCAGCATACAACACGTACAGTGTGAATGCTTCCTGGGCTGATGGACAGATGATGGACATGTTTTAACGTTAGGGGGTTCCTTGGTGACCAGAGAGCGTTGAGCCATCCTACGGACCAGCAGTCAGCTTTCAGTTAGATTCTGAGACAGGTAGGTTCTGAGACCGACTGGCCAAGGTCAGAGTCAGAGATAAAAATGCGATTCAGGGGTCTAGCCTCTTGCCTGAGGGAGCCTAATGGACTCATAGGGGATAATTTTGTGTTTTGTCCCTTGAATATTTGGATCCATCTGTCTATACCCATTGAGAAGAATGAGCTACATGGAGGCCTGGCTGGGAGCCAGCTGAGGGGCTAAGGTCCCCAAAGCCCTGTCTTCCTCTCCCCAGCCACCTCTCAAGCTCAGAAACCCAATAACCTCCCAGAATCCTTCAGGTAGGGCTCTGGGGTGAGCCATGGCCACAGGCCTGGCTGTGGAAAGGGAGTAGAGCCCAGCAGGAAACCACAGAGGCCAGCCTGATTGGATAAGTGTAGGGCCCAAGGCTGGTCAGCCCACAGACTGTGGGCACCTGTCCTTCTGACCTGCTGCCCAGGCTCCAGCTGCCGAACCTCCAGGAGCAAACTGGGAGGCAGGGAGGAGGAAGATTAGGTGTTCAGGCTGGACCTGAGTCTGCTGTCTCCTGGCCTGTTCCCAGGTACCACCACCATCTCAGACTGAGGCAGGACAAAGATACCCTGGCTCAGTGATTCTAAGTCCTGTCTTTACAGAAGGGCCTGCTGCAGCTCTTCTGGACTAATCCACAGCCACGCAGCGCACTGGCAGAAAAGCCAGTGCAGGAGTACTGGGACTGGATGCCTCTTTTGCTTCTGACTACTGGAAGGGCACCATACCTCTGGGGACACCTACAAGATGGGATCCTAAGGTACTAGGCCCAGCAGACAAGCAAGGCTGAGGTGGGAGAAGGGGCTGCCCTCACAGGGTAGACCCCCAGCCACACCCCTGAGCAGCTCCCAGAATTAGGTGCACTTGAATAGCAGCCACCCTACTAGTCCTAGCTCTGCCATTCATCGTCTGAGTGGAGGATGGGAGGTGTTGCTAGCTTCTCTGGGCCTCAGTTTCTCTACTTATAGGATGGAGAGAGGCGCTAACAAGATTCCTCTGTTCACCAGATGTGCACTTTGTGCCAACCTGAACCAATCTCACCTGACACAGGCTCTGAAGCATGGGGTGGGATGCGGGTAGTGCTTCCCCTTCAGGTAGAGGAACTGGAACCACCAGCACAGCGGGGCAACTGAGACCTACTTTATTCTCCTCGCACAGAGCCACCCCTGTAGTTGCCCAACTTCTTCCAGAAGTTAGTTTTCTGCTGCTGTGGGCGCTGGGTCTCCTTTGCACCCACTTACTCACCCCTTCCCCAGCCTTCCCGCTCCCCCTAGCGGCGTGCTGTCGGGGCTCCCAGCCTATGGTGGGGGGCGATCCCGCTCCCCCACCGTGCAGCTCCTATTGGCTACCGAAGTCAGGGTAGGAGGAGGCGCTGTACTCTGATTGGTCAGTGCTGCCCATCCATCCTGCATTCGCCATGGTGACCACGTTGGGTCCCCCGGGAGAGTTCCACATTCCGTCCCCGCCCGCCGCCCCCTCCCGCCCGGCGCCCGCCCGGGCGTTCCGCAGCCCCATCCCCCGCCTTTTGCAGCCGGGGCAGCCCTTCTCACCCGAGGCCCGGTGTCCTGAGACTGGGGGTAACCTGGGAGGGACCTAGAAACTTTTATGTTTGGGGACTGCTGCGGGTGCCCTCACTACTCCGTCTCCTTCACGCCCCTAGTTTAACCCCTTCTTTCTGGCGGACGCTGCGGCCTGCGCGAGTTCCCGGGCCACGATGTCCCCCCGCCCCGCGCTCAGTCGCGGCCCTCGCTCACCTCGGGCCGGGGCCGCCGGGCTCTGGACGTCCGGCCGCTGCGGCTGGGTGGAGCGGGCACGCTGCTGGCCGCAGCCGACGCCTGGAGGCCGAGGGAGGGCCGCGGAGTCTCCTCCTCCCGCCCGGGGGAGGGGACGGAGGGCGCCGGCGGGCGGGGGCTGCGGGGTCCTGATCAGGAACGCGAGGAGCGCCCAGCCGCGACCGGGGGTGGGGGCGGGCGCCTGGGGCTGGGGATACCAGCCTGATTGTGGGGCGACGGGTGCGGGCCGGGACGGCGGGCTCTGCCGCAGAGCGGGCCGGGCCGACGGAGGCCCCACCCTAGCGTGGGGGCCGGGGTGGGGGGGACCGAAGGCTCGGTCGAGGCCGCGAGCTCGGCTTTCCCGCCTCAGGTTCCCCGAGCGCTAGCGACGTACCGGGAGCCCGGCTGTCGAAGTGGCACTGCTGTCCCCGCTCAACACGTGGAGCGTGTTAACCAAGTTTTTGACTGTTAACTACTCTTTTTGCCGGTATTGTTGTCCCAGAGTGGACGTGGGCCAAAGAGTCTGTGATCTCGCCGGGGCTGTTTTGTCCAACAAAAGAGTTGATCAAAGCAGCCTCAACGCCCGCGAAGAAGCACTTGCACTTCCGCCCCCTCCAGGTGCACTGCCCCTTGGGGGCTTCCTCTCTAGGGAGTAGGCTGTCTGCGGTCTAGTGGGGCAGAGGGACGTCTCACCATCGCATCCGCTCCCTGCGGAGGCTGCCTGAGGTTTGTCTGTTTTAAAACGAACGAAAAATTTATAGAAGTGAACTTGGCTGGAGTGAGTTAGCAATTAGAAAAAACTAAAAAATACGAAGCTAAATTGGTTTTACCTTATGATTTGCAGTATTTAGATTATAATTGCATTCGTGCACACATCAGACTGAAGAATGAATTAAGTGCTAATATTTGAAAATTTTATTTTTCTGACAAATAGAGTATGTGACATTCTTCTTTTCTGAGTAGGTTTTGCAGATTTTTTTTCCCCCAGAAGTATTTGAGGGGGGCCAGGGATATGGCTCAGTAGAATAAACCCTTCCCTGGCAAGTACAAGGGTCTGAGTTCAGTCCCCAGTTCCACCAAAAAAAAAAAAAAAAAAAAAAAAAGTATCTGAGGGCTTCCTCACACTCAAGGATCACTCTGAATCCTTTGATAACTCATCACTTCTTTTTGGAAGGTCCTAGTCACTTCCTTTATAAATGTCCTCTTTCTCTGTGGTCATCCACTGGCAAAGCTTTCTCCCTCTTGCTTCCATCAACTTCATGAAATCTCACACTTTCTGCAAGAAATGCAGTTTCGCTTGTCATTTCATCTGCTTATGTTCTTGGTGTGGTCCACCACTGATAGCATCTAGTAAAGGGTGGGAAACCAGTTTTGGTGGGAACCCACGGTCTTTGGTTAGCATTTATATATCGCTAATCTGCAAATGTCTTGGCTTCTTTTGCAGTTTATAGAGTCAGAGTTTGAGAGCTCTGGAAAAGGGCATCTAAAATTTAGAGCCAGGGAAATGAAGGCTCAGAGAGGCTCCTGGCTGAAAGCGTAGGCAGGGTCTCATGGCCAGCAAGCGACAATCTTAAACCCAAAGCCCAGAGTTCTTTTGCAGTTTTTGAAGGTAGAGAAGAACAGAAGGTGGTAGAGGCTGTCCTGGCTGTAGCCTCAATACAGTGAGGCCCTTTGAAGGAAGGAAACACGGGCTTCTGTCCTCCACTCAGGACATGGCTTTATTTATTTATTTATTTATTTATTTATTTATTTATTTATTGGGAAGTGTCTACAGGGTGTTCAGGGTCTTGCTACTAGATCAGACTCAGTGATCCTCCTGTTTACAGCCTCCCAAGAGCTGGGATTACAGGTTTGCGCCACCATAGCTAGTCTCAATTGCCATCTCAGCACTCCCTGGGAGCGGGGCAAGCATGGCAGGCCCGGGGATTGAACCCCTGTCTCCTGCTCCTGCTTGCAAGCACTTTAATCCACTGGGCTATTTGGCTGGCCCTGACCGTGGGGTTTTGGATTTGAGGTCTATGCCAGTGTTTTTACACTCCAGTTTTGTTCTGTATGCTTGCCACTTTGCCATCCATACATAGCACTTGTGCCTTTTTAAGCCATTTTTCTACAAATTATTTTACTTTTTAGGATGTAAGTACATTGTAAGGGACTATTTCATATTACTAAGATAAATAGGAAATCTGAGTTACCATAAATAAAGAATACAAATAAATAGCAGGCAAACAAAATAATGATATTAAAATCTATATAGAAACTGAAAGGGGTGTCATTTCTAGAACCATATTCACAGCAGCATCATTTATAATAGCTAAAAAATGGAGATAGCCCAAGTGTCCATTAACAGTTGAATGGATAAACACAAAGTGATGCACACACACACACACACACACAGGAATATTGCTCAACTTTTAAAAGGGCTGGCATCCTGACACATGCTATGGCATGAAGGAACCTCAGGACATTATGCAAAATGAAATAAGCTGGTCTGAGCAAAGTAAATACATATGATTCCACTTACATGAAGTATCTAGAGTAGTCAGATTCAGGGAGATGACAAGGATGGTGGTTACCGGGGTCGGGGAGATAGCTTGGGGGTCTAAGCGCCTGCCTGACAAGCGCAACTACCTGGGTGCAATCCCTGGTACTGGTAATCCCAGTGCTGGGGAGGCTGAGACAGGAGGATCACTACAAGTCTGAGCTGTGTAGTGAGACCCTGTACCAAAGAAAGAAAGAAAGAAAAAGAAAGAAAGAAAGAAAGAAAGAAAGAAAGAAAGAAAGAAAGAAAGACCTGGAGAGATCTCCAGGATTGTTGGAAGAAAAACAAACTGCAAGACAATTAGTATAATATGATCCTATTTGTGTGAACAAATATGTGTTTTCTGTAAGTTTCTCTAGAATGATCTGTAACAGCCGCTAACCCTGGGGAGGGGAGAAGAGAAGGGGCCTTGCACTTCGCGTTCTATTTGTCTCTATATTTTTAAATTTTTGCAATAAAAATAATTGTTGCATTACCAAAAAAAAGAAAGAAAGAAAGAAAGAAAGAAAGAAAGAAAGAAAGAAAGAATGGTGGTCACCAAGGGCTTAGGGTGATTGAGGAGTTTTTGTTTAACGGGTACAGTTTCATTTGGCAAGACGAAAAAAGTCCTGGAGACAGTGACTGTGGCTTCATGATCATGTGAATGCCACTGAATTTATGCTTAAAAGTAGTTAATATGGTAAATTTCATACTATATATAATTTGCTATAACAATTAAAAAACCCCAGATACCTTGTTTTTGATGTCTAGCAGTTAGTGAGTCAGCAAGAACCCATCTCAAAAAAAGGGGGGGCTGGGGTTGTAGCTCAGTGTTGAAAGCCCTAGATTCAATCTTCAGTACTGAAAAAAAAATTATATATATATATATATGTATGATGTCTAATAAGATCAAAGGATGAGAAAAAAAGACTAGAAAGGTGTGTGTTAGGAAGAGACTAAAGATAATTTATCCCTAAACCAAAGCTTTTGCTGTATGCAATTAAGATTGGGAAAGAGTTGGAAAATAAATGAATCGTTCACCCTGTGACTCAGTTGCACTTGCGTCCTGCTTGGAATCCCACTTAGAGCTCATTGAGGTGAGCAGCACATACGTGGGCAGACGGTTCATTAGGAGTAGCATGTGGCCCGACAGCCTGACTGGGGTACAGCACAGGGCCCTGGCATGACTCCTCATGCTTCAGTCTCCAGAATGTTCTTTTGGGGGAGTAGGAGGCAGAGAAGTCTTCTGGAAGGAGGCAAGACTTGAGCAGTCCCGAGGGGTTGGGGTGGTGTGGCTTGCCAAGGTCCATGTGAGTCTCAGCTGGGACAGAGTAGAGAGGTGGACATGAATATGGCCAGCACACACACAACTTGATGGAAGTGGAATTTAGGTGGGGTGAGAGCTTTTGAGCAGAATATATGGAAGTGAGTTCCAGGATGTGGAGTGTGGGGCTAAGTAGCTGGCATCCCAGGTGGAAAATGGGCTGTGGGTGGTAGGCAAGGGAAGAGGGTCTTCCGAGCCCTAAGAATAGCTGCTTGGGCTTACTCCTGATGTGAGGAAAGAGGTGGATGGTGGTTCAAATCTAGAGGTGGCCAGGAGACCTCAGAGAGGAAGGGCTGGAGGTCAAGATCTGGGTCATTGTCATCGAAAACTAGAGTACGGGACTGTGGGTACAGTGCTTGCCTAGCATGTACAAAATCCAGGGCTCTGTCCCCTGCACCACAGAACTGCAACAGATTACAGAAAGAGCAAGGGTTTACCCAGTCACCTGGCAGGGGTGTGGCTAGGGTCTCTGCAGGGCCTTTGTGTCCCCTGGGAGTGGGATCTGGTTGCTCAAGACAAGCTCTCCTGCTGTGTCCAACAGAACCACCTGTGCTCCCTGTGGGCTATGTTTGGACTAACCCAGCGGGGTGAACGTGTCAGAAACAGAGGCAGGGGACCATGCTGGGACCTGTCTGTGTTCTCCCTGTTGCAGGATCTCCCTCCCCACCCCCACCCTTCAGGGATGGAAGAGCACATTCCTGAGTCACCACTTTCCCAGGGAATCTGGTTGGGGCCCAGACAGCAGAGCACCCTGTTTCCCCACTATACAAACACACACACTCACCGAGTCACTCCCTGCTTTCCTTAGAGTTCTAAAAAGGCTTAGTGTAGCACAGGCTTGCAGGGATCTCTGGTTCAAAGAGAAGCAGCCAGTTTTACTGCCCTGCTGTTCTGCCATGTTTTCTGAGCTCTGCTTCCAGGAAGGCCTCTCCCTCAGGGTCCTGCCACTGGGCAACTTGGGACCAGGTCCTTGTCTTCTCTGGATTTAGGGCTTTGTGAGCATTCTGGTCATTTTGTAGCCATTCCTGCCCCATTTGGTGGTACTGCCACTAGTCACAAAGCTAAGTTCAAGAGTTTAAGCCTCTTGCACCAGCCAGCCCGCCAATGAATAGAGGCTTGCTACTGAACCCAGAAGCCTGGTGCAGGCCTTTCCCAGTTTCCTGCCATCATTAATCCTGTGGATTGTCATGTCAGGCAGAGATCATTCTCCTTGTTCTTTAGATGGGGAAACTGAGGTACAGGGCAGTGCTATCACTTTCCCCAGTACGCAGGGCTGCGGAAGTTCTAGGTCCTGCACAACACCATGTTGCCTGCTTGCTCGCAGCTGTTCCCTGGTGCAGGGTCATGGGCAGGAGACTATGGGGGGCTTGGCCTGGGCATGAGCTCAGAGGAAGCAGGAGTTACGGCAAAAGAAGAAGTGAAGCGAGGGTGCGGTGTGTGTGGTGGGTGAAAAAGGTCAGAGCAGTGAAGTGGGAGTATGGGTGTGGGGTGAACAGAGAGGTTGCTGCAATGGGTGCCCGACTTCCTGTTCTTTGTGCAGAAGCAGCAAGACAGCATCAGGAACAGACAGATTCAGAAGTGACAGCGTCACAGGTTAGTCCTCTGGCTCTCTCCTCCCTCTCCCCCAGCTTTCTGTCATTATCCACAGCACCCCTGCATCCCATTGTGCTCTGAACAAGCACTGCCCAGGTGGTAGCTGGCTTTTCAGTGTCCCTGGAGCAGCAAGTGGGGACCCAACCACCTTCCCACTCTGGGCCACACATCTCTATCCTGGGGATGCAGAGAGCTGTGTTACCAGCAGAGGTGATTTCAACTTGAAAGAGTGAAAGGGTTGGGACCTTTTCATTGGCACCGCACGTGCACAAGGCTCTGGGTTTGATCCAATGACTGACAAAAAGCAATTTTAAAAAGAAAAAGAAATTAAGGAGTGATTAGGTGTTGGGTTCAAGTCTTAGCTTCCTCAGGCAGTCTTAGGGAAATTTTTGGACTTAACCGAACTCCAGTTTTCTCATCTGTAAAATGGGGCTGGTCCTGTAACTTGCACCTTGGAGTGGCATGGGTAAGGGACTGTCAGGTACTCAGTACAGGACGCAGCTTGTGCTCAGCAAACTGGACCGGGTAACCTTCCCCTCGAGCACCCTCTCCCTGGGGCTGAGGGCTACCTGTTGGCTTTGCAGCAGCCTCCCTTTGTTCCTCTGTAAAATAGCCCTTTTAACAATAGCAGCTCTCAGGGCTGTTTGGCAGAGACCACAAGTTCACCCCCCACCCAGACCAGGAGGAATCCCAAGGTGGTGGCTGGGGTGTGATGGGCAAGGGCAGCAGCTCAGTGGAGGCAGTGGGGCCATGTGCAGGAGCAAGGTGGGCTGTCCTGAGTGTGAGCAGCTCGGGCAGTAATGCAGGTGAATTCCTGCCAGGGACTTTGCCCGGAGCCTTGGGCCTGGGTCAGAGTCAGATTCTGGGAAGTGTGGATGAGCTCATTGGTTGTTTGGGTCCTGCTCCCTGGTACTGGAACCCAGGCATCCTCATTTTGCAGATGAGAAAACCTGAGGCCCAGAAAACACCAGTTCCTTGCCCAACGTCACCCAGCCTGGGCACTAAATACTGGTGCTTGTTACTAACTCAGCGTCTTTCATGCTTCACACCTTCCTCATTGATGTTGGCCTAACTAGCATCCTATTTGCCTACTAAGTAGTTCAGCTATCCAGCCAGCACTGTGAGTAAACACAAGAGTCAAAGTCCAGAGTCCTGGGTTTCAGTCCATTCAGCTACTAGCCTGCTGTAGAACTGCAAGTGAGCCCCTTCTCTTGTGTGGTATTCGGTTTCCCTGCAACCTGTTGGAGCCATTTTGGATGTTAGGTAAGGGACTGCTGATTCCCAGGGCTCCAAATAATGACTTATCAGAAGGGAAACCTGATGGTGAAGGGTGTAGGGGATGGTATGCAGGACAGGAAGAGCCCCTAGAGGCTGCCAGCAGAAGTGAAGACAGTGCCTTGGCCCTGAGAAAGAGGGTTGAAACCACAGCTTTTATCTGTGATAGGGGTCACTTCTGCTTTGGCCTTGATTTCTCCATTTGTAAGGTAGGGTTAGTGTCCTTTTCTTTCACTGCCTGCCTGGGAGCAGTGTGGCTGGGGACTCAGTCCTAGGGTACAAACCCTGAAGGTCAAGTCTACCTGTCTGCTGTGCCTCAGTTTCCCCATTAGTACTGTGAAGGGGTAGATAAGTTGGGCAGAGGTGCCTTCTGCACTCTCAGGTCCTGTGTTATGCAACTTTTCTCATCTGAAGTCCTTTATTTTGCTTATTTAGCAACTTTCCTGGTCACCCCAAACCTTGTCCTTCATCTGTTCTCTGAGGTTTTGAGAGGACAAATGACTACACAAAAGGTAACATAGCCACACACATGAGCAATAGCCAAATAAATAAGAGTTTAGGCTCTTGGGGCCGGCCAGATAGCTCAGTAGACTGAAGCGCCTACTGGGGTTCAATCCCAGCCCCCAGGACATGTTGAGACGGGAACTGAGACTGGGCGTGGTGGCACCTGCCTGTATTCTCAGTACTTGGGAAACTAAAAACAGGAGGATCACTAGGAGTCCGATCTGTGTAGTGAGACCCTGTAGGCCCTGTACTAAAATTAAAAAAGAAAGAATTTAGGCTCTGATTCCAACATCTCCATTTCTGTTTTAGAATAAACATAATATTAATAAATGGGACTAAGAAAAACGGGTGACCATTGGGGAAACAAAATTGTGTCTATATCTCACACTATGTTCCAGGACCAAGGTAATGGACTGGAGATTCCCATGTGACAGTGAAGGCATGAAAGTGCTAGAAGAAGCCAGATGTAGTGGTGCGTGGCTCCCAGTACTAGGGAGGCTGCGATGGCTGGGAGTTCAAGGCCAGCCTGGGAAAAAAAAATGTACAAGGAGAGATGTAGGAAAATTCCTTTTTAACATTGAAATGGAAAAGGCTTTTCTTGCTGTGACTCAAAATCCAGACGCCTAAAGAAAAAAAAAATACTGATAAATTTTATTACAAAAAATAATTTAAAATTATGTCTCACACAAAAGTGATGGCATATGCCTGTAAGCCAGCACTCCAGAGGCTGAGGCAGAATTGCTGTGAGATCAAGGCTAGTCTTGGCAACATAGTGAGACTCCCATCTCAAAAAAAAAAAAAAAAAAAAAAAAAACAAAAAAAAACAAAAAAAAAAAAAACAAAACAAAAAAAGCCTCTACATGGCAAAAAAATAAAATAAAATAAAAACAGACCCCAAACAAAGCATATGTAATGTTGAAAGACAAATGACAAACTAGGAAAAATATTTGCAATTCAAGTAACAAACAGCTGCTTTCCTTGTTATGCAAAAGAGTTTCTAGAAACTGCTAGGGAAAAGTTGAACCAGATATGCACATGGCCACATGGTGAACTGGCAAGTGTAGGAAATGATGTGAGTTCAGCCGGACTGTTTCCAAGAGCAGAAGACTAGAACTGCTACAAATAGCTTTCAGCAGCAGACTGTTGGGCTCTGGCTCATCTCTGCAGTTAGGATACACAGTTAAGAAGTGGAGTCTTTCTAAATACTGTTACGGATTTTCAAGGGAAACAATCAAAGTGTGGAATAGTATGGAGAGCCTGCTACTTTTCATATAAGATTGAAGGATTATCCGCTTTGCCTATGTTTGAACAAGGAGATCTGGAACATGCACGCAACTCTAACAGTTGGTATCCCGTGGCAACCAACTAAGTACTAACTGACCAAGTTTGCGCACTGCAGGGCTAGTTTACTTTATGGCCCTTTCTGTAATTTATTGTTTCCATTTGAAGGATATAAATTTTTAGCTATCCAAAGGGTAAACAGAAATTGAGGAAAATATAACTATACCATACAGGGAAACATCAGAAAACACAGAGTGGTAATACAGTACAAATGGGCCCATAATTTCATACCTAGGGGTGACCACCTTTTATACTTGAATGTATGTCTTCCTGCTTTTGTGTATATAAAATGTACATATTTTTTGCAAGGATGAGATGATGTTGTTTTGTAATATGCCTTTTAGTTTTCACAAGGAATATTATTTTCCATATTGATAACTAGTCATCTGGAGCATTTAAAAATACTAAGCATTAAAATTTTTTCTGTTATGAAAATAATACATGTTATTTGTATAAAATTTAAGCAAAACAGGAAAAAATTGACTTTTTTTTCCCCCGGAACCGGGAATTGAACTCAGACCCTTGCGCTTGCCAGGGAAGCGATTATTCTACTGAGCCATCTCCCCAGCCCCAAACCAGGAAAAAAATTGAAATGAAATACAAAGAGCATCTCTCAAAATAGTACTATTAACATTTTGGTTAATTATTCTTCTAGATCCCTCAATGAGTTTGAACATGCATGTAAACATACTTTTCTGTAAATACTAATAAATGGGATTATATACACAGTACAGATAAATTCTGTGTATCCTTCACCCAATTTTTTTTTTTTTTTTTTGCATTTTCTTAGGGAAGGGTCTACAGGTGTTTAGGGTCTCACTACGAGATTGGACTCATAGTGATCCTTCCTGTTTACAGCCTCCCAAGAGCTGGGATTTCAGGCGCGTACCACCACGCCCAGTCTCAATTGTTGTCTCAGTGCACTCCAGAGGCAGAGCCGGCAAGGCAGGCCCGGGGATCAAACCCCTGGCCCCTGCTCCTGCTTGCAGGTATTTTAATCCACTGAGCTATTTGGCCAGCCCTCCTTCACCCATTTTCTTCCAATGGTAACAGCCTGTGCTCCTGTAGTACAATGTGAAAACCAGGATTGACTTAGTACAATTCGAAGAACTTATTCAGATTCCACCAGGGTTGGTTTTTTTTTTTTTTTGTACTCATTTATTTATGTGCATAGTAGGGGTGTGTATTTAATTCCATGCCGTTTTATCACACACATACATTCCTGTAACAGCCACAACAATCAAGACACACAACTGTCCCACCACTGCAAGGATCCTGCAGCTTCCCCTCATAGACACGCACCCTCCCCAGAGCTTGCCAACCGCGACTCTGTCCCTGTTCTATAATTTTCATTTCAAGCATGTTATACAAATCACATCATACAGTATGCAGCAGCCTGAGTTGGCTTTTTTGTTTTGCTCAGGATAATTCTAATTCTTTTGAGTTATCCAACTTGCGTGAATCAGAACCTTTTTTGCAATTTAAGTTTTTAAATTGTTGAATGGTGTGGATGTACCGCAGTTTATTTAACCATTTGCCTTTTGAAGGTGCACAGAAGTTATTCCCAACTTTCAGCCATTATGAGTAAAACTGCTTGGAATGTCCAGATACAAGTTTTTGTGTGAACATGAGGGTTTTTTTGTTTGTTTGTTTTGTTTTTTTGAGTCAAGATTTCACTATATAGTTCAGGCTGGCCTCAAACTCATTTTGCACCCCAAGCTAGCCTTGAACTAGCAGTGATCCTGCGAATACTGAGATTACAGGTGTGTGCCACCACACCTGACTACATGAGGTTTTATTTCTTTGGAGCAAAAGCCCAAGAGCATCACTGCTGGATCACATGGGAGACACTCACTTAGTATTTTATGGATCTGCTCAAC